TTTCAAACATTGATTTTGGGTTATTAGTTTAATTTGGGGCTTATTCCAAAACCCCAAATCGATGTTTTTGACCGTTCTTTAATTTTTCTTCCAATTTTATCATATATAAAACAATTATTTACAATTCACATTTTTTTTTTCAAAAATAACTTGTAATAATAATTAAGAAATTTCTTATAAGCAAAAAATTACTTATAAGATTAATTTCACTTCATACTTAAAAAGTGTTTATAAGTACAAAATTAACTTAGAGCTCGTTTGGTACTAATTAAAATTGAATTAAAATTGAAAATATAGTCGTTATTGGACAACACTCGTCTAATAAAAGTCAACAATAACGGCTAGTTTTTCAATTTTAATCCGATTTTAATCTCTACCAAACGGGCTCTTATAGCCTAAAATTTACTTATAAGTATTTCATATAAATAAAAAATTTAATTATAAAGATTTCAATTTTTAAGTTAAATTAACTTATATGTAAAAAGTCACTTATAACTAAAATATTACTTACGTACAAAAAAAAAAAAAATTATAAGTTATAGCCACCACACTATAAAATTGATTATTCCTTTTTGCCAGAATGGGGGGTACCGAATGGTGTCCCCCCTCTCACAATGCGCACAGGCCCTATGTGGATTTAAAAATTATGGCTTGTGGTTCTCACCTCCTAATGTGAGTGGGGTGTAAAAAATTCGATACATGTAGCATAATTCCTATAAAATATATGAATGTGATTCACGTGATTAGATATCAAACAAATAATTATATTATCTTTTCGAAAAGTTAAATTATTAGTTGTAGTCAAACAAAATTATCAATGCACGAAAGTCGGAACCTTGTGGGTTGTCACTTGTCACGCACAAATTTGACAAGGATAAATCGGTTTTTACATCCCAATATTCTTCTTAATATTGAAAAGTAATCTTATTAGTTTCTATTGCAGTTGATTTTTATTTTTTTTAAATGGGAAAAAGCTTCATATAAAAAAAATAATCTATAAATATATGACTAATAAAAATATATTTTTTTTTGTGTGAAAAAAGAAAACGAAAAAAATTCACATGTGACACAATGAGATGATAGGATCAATGTTAATTTATGGAGGGCTAGATGAATGAGAAAGAAAAAAAAAATGTTCTTTTAAATGAAAATGAAATAGTAATTGAATTTTTGGAGAATAGAAAAAAAGTTTTAAAAAATTGTTGTGTAAGTAATTTTTTCAGTATATTAGTGGTTTTTTGTTATCATGTTGTACATGTAGTACGTAAAGAANNNNTGTTGTACATGTAGTACGTAAAGAATAAATTTAAAATTACTGTGTGAAAAGTGTAAATACACCAAAACCATAGGATGCATTTTTTAATATTTTCTGTAATTTATTGGTTGGTTTTGTTTTGGAAAAATACTAAAATTGACCGCCCATTATTGTCTGGTTTTGTTGCTCTATTAAGTTATTTTAATAAAAGTTGATAAATGTGTAGTTGAAAAGTTATGAATCTCATAAAATATATGATTAAAATTATTCTTCACTTTAATTTAGATTTTAATCCCTATCAAATAGGGACTAAGCTATTTTTACCTTTTGCCATCTGTAAAAAGTCAACTCCGAAGTAGAATTAATTTTTTCTAAGAAAAAGTGTAAATTATCCAAATATATTTGAGACGAGAGGTTAGGTAAATTTACATTTTTCAAGCTTAGACAAACACAGTCTATAATGAATACAGGGATGGAGTGGAGAATAAGCACTCGAGTCAGTTTGTTAAGTGACTTTAAACTTGCGAACAATTTATTCAAAATAAGTAATTTGCAACAATCCTCACTCCAAAAGAAAATGAAACAGCACTCATGCAGCCAAGAAAGAAAACAAACATTGGCTAGAATCTTAATAAACACGAAACCACACAGATTACCATGCACACTAGTTCACCGTAACAACTTGCATGAATTCGACATCATTTTCCATAGCTAGCAATGCGTCCGGGGTGAGTCGAATCTATGTCTACACTTCCTTCTTCTACACCAGGAAATGCCGTAAATTTTCCGTCAAATTTGTTCGCCAATCCATCTCTCACGGCCACGGGTTTCCCCATCCGAAGTCATTTCCATACACGTTGAACTGTGGCGAGCTGCCAACGACAAACGTATTAGTCCTTGCACCCTTCATCGACAATCGAGGGCATTTTAGCCAATTTTCATAGTTGTTCTTGGTTTCTTCAAGAGTTTTAGCAGCAATCATTTGGTTCAGTTGCTGGGCAGCCCAACCGAGTCCATTGCTCAGTAAGTCGTTTGGCGTCGCAGTTGCAGCACCTCCCTGAATAGCATTCCCAAAATAACTGTTGAGAAAGTCAAAGATCCTCACCATGATTCTTGTCAATATTATAGATTAGGAAACAAATATATTGTGATATATTACCTTCCTTCCTGATAATATACCATCAATTAGTAGCAGATTTATAGGAGTTACTTGAAAGGCTAAAGTGTTAGGACTTTATTAAAAACTTAAACTTTATGATCTTGCCAAGATCTTCATGTCAAATCATCAAGAAACTGAATTAACGCGGAACATACCTTAATCAATTGATTTCTGACTTGATTAATGAATCTTGAATCTGGATCTGTAAATCTTCAGTTTGGTTGCTTCAAATCTCCATCATAATTCCTGATTGTGGGTTTT